TAATATCAATTGGGTTGTACGCGAAAGAGGATTGTATGAAATTGGCAATATTGTTATGATTATCCAGGTCGTAAACTGCATACAATTGTTTCGGATGTACCCGATTCTTAACGAGTGACACATACATGCGTACATGTTCGCTGTAGCGAGGATACTCTCACGATCCTGGTACAATCGAAACTAGACGGAACAAGTGCTTGTTGGTTTCCGGTGTTTCTTAGGTCGGCCTTTGAGGTGGTCAGGTTTCGAATTACGGCTAACATCCTCACCATCCAGACCCGCGCATTGTTCGTACACGATGGCTTCAAAGCGCCACTATACCATAGGTGCGAGTGGGGTGACGTAGGAGGTTGACGAATGATACAAACGGGCGATAGCGTGACGAGACGTATGAGAACGCCGGGCGTTGCGCTAGGAGTAAAGAAGGAGATGACCGGGAATGGAAACGGAGTGTTAGTCAGTCAAGTGCTTATAGGTTGTAATGCGTGTAGCGGAGAGCGTGCTGTTGGAGTAGGCTAGTGTTTGCTCTGCATTTCATTTTGGCCTTATATTATTTTTCGGCCACTTTTAGACTTAGTTTCATTTCTGGTTCATCTTAGGTTCACTTTGCAGTTTGCCTCTGCACTGAACACGCCTTAGGTTCAGTTGGGGTTTCCCAACCCTAACTTTCAAATGTCTCTCGACACTTTCTCTAGTGCAACTTTTCCTTCTCGTTACTTCACTCACTAGCTATGGCTGCCACTCACCTAACTTCAACACGTGCCTGACAGATCGGTAGATACGGTGGGACGTGATGGGTAGTCGGGGAACGGCCTTATGGTAATGTCGGGGGCGTAGATTAAAACTAATGTCAGGGAACAAGTGTGGGGCATGTGGCCACGAGCTTGAGTCGGACAACTTACTGAGGATCCATCTGTACCGCAATGACACGTGCAGGGACACGCTGCTCGAGAGGTTGGAGAGTCGGGCAGTGGAGGCGTTGGCGGAGGCATTGGCCGCGGTCCGGAATGGCCCGCAGCATTCCGATAGTGAGTCTGTCTCGGGTAGCCCGCACTCTGCAGACTCGCTGTTCCGATATCTGAGAGAGTCACCTGAACACGCGGACCTGGTGCGCGGGCATGTGTCGTCGTCGGACGATGGATCCGTTTCCAGAGTTGGCGAGTTGTTCAATACACTGAATGAGCTGTACCTGTTCTTCAAGGACGCTGATATGTCAGACAGAGAAATAAATCGAATTCTGCACATCTTCAACCACAAGGGGTACGATCCTGCAGCGGCTCGTCGCTAGCAGAACGTCGCGGACGTGAGGCGGTATGGGGATGAACACGCGCCGGACGACATGTTGCCGTGGCTCAAGGCTGAGATTGAGGTGCGGGGGCCCGGAGGAAGGTCGCAAATGCTGGAACTGCTGTACAAGGACACCAAGCTGGTGAGCGTGTGGTATTTTATGCAATACATTTCCTGCCGCACTACTGAGTCGTTGATGCGGTTCTAACACTCTCGTCGTTGCCAATGCTGAGGCAAATAGCTCAAAAGATCGTAAAGACATATGTAAATGTGAAGGGGTTTGTCAAAAGGCCGCGGAGAGATCCAGAGGATACGAACGACATGCGACATTTCAGTACGCCCGACACAGGGACTTGGCTGGAAGAGGCGCAGGCAAGTAACCAGCTATGTTCACAGGCGTCTCATGAGGCAACGCGAGAGTGGGACTGACATTTTCGATAAATCTTTTATATTGACAGGCGGAACTACCGGAGGATGATTCAATGGTGTTGGGTGTTATATCGTACAGTGACAGCACGTACGCGTCGAGGAACGGACGCTTGAAGGCTTGGCCAATGCTGATGGGTTTGGTCAATATACCAGAGGAGTTAAGATGGCAAGAGCCAGGTCACGCTCTAGTGGGGGTGCTCCCTTTCCCGCTTGAGTGGGCGTCGGCGACAAAGAAGACTCGAGTGTACCATGAGGTGTATCGCATCGTGACGGGTCTGTTGATGCGAGAGAGCCGAGAGTAAATGTTCTGAATGCATGTTGTTAGCCGTATGATGCGATGGGGTTCATGGTCGGCATCTGATGGGCAGCAATCCGTTATAATGTGCATGCGGTGGTCCGTTACGATTCTTCGATGTGTCGGATGGGCGCAGAGGTGTGGTGAAGGCATATCCATGCCTATATGCATTTGTCGGCGACTATCCCGAAGGGTGCCGGGCCACAGCAACGATGCAACAGGCATCACACACACCGTGCTCGAGCTGCTACATCAAGAGGAAGCACCTCCATGACCTGACAAACGAGTTCATTGTGCGCACGGTGAAGAGGGAGCGGCATGCGGGCGGCGGAGATACTGAGCGCACCCAACGGTGGATGACGCTGCAGCGGCCCAAGCCAGGTGGTCCACGCATCCGATCACGGTACGCGGGCACCGTTCCTGTGTCGCATATTGTACTTTTTGAACCGAGAACTCGCGTGGAACATGAGAGTTGTGCATCGCGCTGAGCGTTGGGTTTGACTGACACTACCATCCGATGTACAGAGAGTGTTGGAACGGTGGAACTTCTCGGAGACAAAGTGGGGCAATGTGTTCTTGGCATGCGTGGGCGACATATTGCATGTACTCGACTCAGGGGTGCTGGTACATATGGCCATGTGTTTTATGGAGGGAAAGACCAAACCCGAGATCAGAGTGTTTGATCAGTGAGTAACCGCATGTTCCTTCTCCTTGAATCTTTGCGGTACTACGCGAGAGGATGTGGTAACGAGCACATGGGCGGTGCGTTGCATTTGTGTGCTTGGTGCCTGGTACAGCCGCAAGTTTGGAGTGAAGGGCGACACAAGGAGTGTCCTAGTGCGCATCCTGGGTGGCTCGACCGTTTTCTGCAGCGGGGCCAATTATGCAGCTTTCGAGTACCATGGCATGATGCAGATTTTCCCGATCGTCATTGTTGACCTGTGCGTGGGGTGCTCTGCGGAGGAACGGGCCAAACGAGATGCGGAGGTCCGTGCGTTTCGATACTACGCGGTGTTTTACAAGCCACTGCTAGTCGTGACCAAACACACGAGGGTCACAATCGCTATCGCCAGGCAGCATGGCATCTCGTGAGTACACATGCACGCCGTGTCCATTCGTACTCTACATGGCCATCTTGATCCATGGTGTGATGGAACAATCTGCTAACGACGATGAGCTTGCTTGTACGTGTAGGCTGATAGCTGCACTGCAGGCCGCTTTCCCGAAGCAGAAGTCGAATTGGAACTTCGTAAGGCTCCACGAAGTCGTGCACATCATCGACGGCATAGCCATGAGGGGTTTGCCGCACGAGTATTTGACGGAGCTGTGGGAGCATACACACAAGGGCACCGTGAAAGGCCCCGTGCGCGGCAGCAACTGGAAGGACATACCACGGAGAATTGTCGAGGAGGAGACGCAGCGTGAGATCACACAGGAGATAGCGGCGCTGTCAGGCGGTGAAGAACATACTACATGGCCCTGCGAGAGGTACAAAATGCGTTATCGTGTAGTATAAGAGGTACTTGGGTAAGGTACACATGGAATCGTCGTGTTCGGTAGTTGTCACGAAACAGTCTCCTCCCATGCGTGCCCACAATCCACCACTCAGGCTTTGCGCAACATAAAGCCCGCGCTGACCCGCACCAGCAAGGCATGTGTCTCGTGACGGCCGACGATCCACCGCGCATGCTGTACAGGAAGGCGGTGGGAAGCGATTTTGACAACATGGCGACTCCTCATGACCGCGGACGGTCTTCAGACAGCTAGAGTGTTGGTGAGATATCTTCCTATGTCAAAAACCATGTGTCGGGGATTCATGTTTGAAAAATGGTAGTGCACTTTGAGTAGCCGTGGTATGTAACTGAGGGCGTTGGTACAATGTGATGTTCCATGTAACTGCAAGGAAAGGGGTTGGAGAGAGAAAGGGGAGAGAGTGAGATGGCAGGAGTTGGAACAGGAAGTGAGGCAGGCGAAGGGGAGTGTAGACGGATGGGGTGATGATGGGGCGAATGTGAAATGAAAACTGGGAGGTTTTTGTGCGCGGTGAAAGCGGAGGGATAGGCAGGAGAGGTAAACGAGGACAACCGAGTGGAAGGTTGTTGGCAGAAAATTGGCGGGAGGGAGGGCGAGGGGATGAGGCGGGGAGGCGGAAGGGCTGGGGAGATAAGAAGGATGGTTTGTTGAGAAGGGGGGCAGTGATGACGCCACACATCCCAGAATCACAAAACACAACATCCCCTGTACCTCACGAGCACAGCACAAACCCCTCTCCTGCACCACCATTCATCCCCGCTGCCCAGCCTGATGATACTAACAGACAACAGCCACCACAAGTGTATGCGGAGCCAACCTAGCACGCCACATGCACAGCCTCTCTGCACGTCCCACACGCTACCGCACCCTGCAGCACCCCACGCCACACACACCACAGCAGCCAGGTGCATCCCAGTAAGGTTGCCCACACGCGTGCACTTGACGCTTGGCACTTGGTGGCTGCGCGCTTGGAGATTCCCCAGCAGGCTGGAGTGTGTCGGGGAGTACCTGGGAGGTGAAGGCGGCGTTGTAGAGGCGGAGGGCGCCGGTGCCGTGCAGGCGGGTGGTGAGCGCGTCCAGGAAGCAGTGCGCCACTCGCTGCCCCGCCCGCCCCTCCGCACAACGCTGCTGCTGCCACGCGGCGCCCGCAGCCCTGCCACCCGGTCCATGCCACAGGGAGGGGGGCGCACGGGCGTGGGTGGGGGAGGGGGTGGTGTGAGGGGCGTGAGAGGGATATGATATTTCTTGCTTTGAAAAGGGGGGTGTGGTTGAGAGAAATGGGTAGATGGGTTGTGGATGGGGGAAGGGCGGGAGGACGAGTATGGAGTTGGGCTGGCGGGGAGAGAGGGAAAGGGCCAAGTCGGGGGCTGGGACGAGGAGGATATGATAGAAAGAAGACCAGTGCGAGACACGAAGACACGTATTGAAAAAGGAAGGGGCAGGAGCGGAGCATAGATTAAATGGGGTGGTGAGAGAGCGGAGGGATAGAGGGAGGGAGGGAGGGAGGGAGGGAGGGAGGGAGGGAGGGGAGGGAGGGGAGGGAGGGAGGGAGGGAGGGAGGGAGGGAGGGAGGGAGGGAGGGAGGGAGGGAGGGAAGGAGGGAGGGAGGGATGGATAGTGGGGGAGAAGAGAGCAGGGAGGGGGCACTGACCATGTCAGCGGTGGCGATGGCTTCAGCGAGGGCGAGCACGAGCTGCCTCACCTCGTCCATGCCCACATCGCTCTTGCCCTTGTGCATGCGCGCACGCACAGGCCGGGGCACTGCCACGACCATGGCCTCATGCGCAGGCCCGTGAAAGGGCATGTGCATGGGCGAAGGCATGTGCATGGGCGAAGGCATGTGCATGGGCGAAGGCATGGGCGGGGATGCAAAACCACCCGCTAGTCTGGTGGTGGCAGCAGCACCGGGCAGCAAAGAGGGCAGCAGTGAGTGGTAAGCGACGGGATGAGAGACCGACGCAACTGGGAGCGCCTGCAAGGAAGCTCGTGTGTACGGAACCGCGGCGAGAGAGGGCAGCTGCTGGGCGGCAAAAGGGTCGTGCGGGGCAGCGAGCATGGCGGGGGGCGAGGGCGAGAGCAGGCGCGCAGCGGGTGACGTGCTGTGCGAGCAGGAACGGATCCATTTCTTGTGACCGGCCGTCTGGACCCAAGCCTGCCAGGAACCACGCGTCGGGTAGGGACGGCGCCGCTGCTGCAGAATTAGTATTGGGCTTAGGAGGAAAGGCAGATGCCGCAGTAGGAGGAGCAGCAGTGTGTTGAGAGCTGAATGTTGCGGAGGTGTGCACCTGGCATGCTACCTGCTCTGCTGTGTGCCCCGAGGCCACTTCTCGCGCCTGCACTGCCCGCCGCTTGCTGCCTGACTCCTCGCCATGCGCCTCCTGCACACCACCCCGCCCCCACCACACGCCCACATGTGAGCCTTCCCCCATCACCACCGCCTGTGCCTCGCCCATGCAGGCCCGACGCGCTCTCTCGCCCTCCCTCCTCCAAGCCACGCTCCAGGCCATTTGCTAGACCCGCCTGCTCGTGCATCATCATCATCATGCCTCCTGCTAAATCATGCCGGGGCACCGTGCCTGCTGCCCTTGCATGCCCTGCAGCTGCAGCAGTAGCGTCATGCCCCGCCCTGCGCTTGGCCCTGGCCTTGGCGTTTCCGGCGTGGCTTATTTGGCTGATGAGAGCTGCCAGTCGCCCTGACAGATTGGCAACTGCCGCACACGCGGGGGTGCTGCCACTCACTGCCTGCTGCTGCTGGTGCTGCTGATTATTATTTCCCTTACTGCTATTACTACTATTAATATTCACATTATTACTAAATTACAAAGTGTGCAGGAGGATAGAAAACAAGGAAAATCTACCGTGCGTGACATGGCATGAGATGGTCCATGCTCTCAACCCATGACCCACGCACCTGCCAGAGAGTGTCATGAGCAGCGGGCAGCCTGCCATGTGAGCTGCGCTGCGCCCTCTGTGGCCAGCATGCCCAGCCCCAGGGGGTGCTGCGGATGGTGCCATACGCCTCCTCCAGCACTCTGCCGGCACCGCCAGCGGCACAAACCCCGCGTGCCGAATGAATGCGCTGCGCCCACTCCACCAGGCTCTCCGGCGCACCGACCTCTGCATGCCCTCAGTGGCCACCAGGTTCACGATGTTGTACCAGAAGAGCCCGCTCAAAATGCCAGGATGTGGTCGCGGCGAGTGGTGAGATCGAGGAGGGGGAAGGCGCAGGGGTGGGTGGTGTGGCTTCTCAGTGGCTTGTGAAGAGAGGACATGCAGACTTGGACCAGCTGGGTCAGCACTGCCCACCGCGCCTTGTGCAAAGGCTGTGCGTCGGTTGACAGATGGTGCTGCTGCTGCTGTGGTTGCTGGTTGCGCTGCTGGGTGGAGTTTTGGTTGGCTGGGGCGCGTGGTTGGGGCAGGGCATGCAGAGAGGCCCCTCGTGGCACTCAAGAGCGCGGCGTGGTAGTCGAGGCAGTTTGCGCAGGCGCGGAGAAGAAGGGGCCGTTGGCAGAGAGGTCAGTCTCCATGAATGCAAATATGTCCGGAGCGAGGGAGGGCCACCCACTGGCGGGACGGAGGGACGAACACACAAGGGCAATCAAGAGGGGGTAGAGGGGAGGAGGGAGGGAAGAGAATGAGGAGATGCAACTCACGTAAGGACATGCGCCTCCATG